TTCTATAAGCTGATGTCTCCCACATGGGACAAATTTTCTATGTACCTAGAGGTCATTGAATAAAATGCACACTCTCAAAGTGTTACTGAATCCATGTTTGCTTGTAGTCACTTGCTTTTTATTCTTAGTCACAGGATTTTACAACTACAATCACAAAGAACAGATCTGTAAAATGTTTTGACACTGTTAAAAGGATTTTATTTTAAAAGTTCAGGAACCACTTCGCAAACTAAGACACCAAGACCCTGAGAGGTAGCACATCTTGGCTAAGTTTCAGAGCAAGTCAGAGACCAGGGAGTGTAACAAGGGACCCTGCTGCAAGAGAGGCAGGGCAGACCCTGGGGAGTGTGGGAGGGGAGGGGGGTAATAACTTAGAGAGGCATGGAGCTTGAGGGACCAAGGGGGCAGGAGAAATTCTGGAGCAAGTCTCCCAGGAGGACAGAGACAATTCCAGGAACCAAAAGAGCCCAGAGTCCTACCTGCCATCTGTTTCTGAGAGCTTTCCCCAAGCCTAGCATGGTCAAAATTTGCTGTGATGTATGGAAGGAGACTGCTATGTACAAACAAGAAGACAGGAGGCTGTCCCCATCTTACAACTTAGCTAAAGGAAGGAGGCAAAGGAAACAACTTTCTAGGCCATCATCTATTGTATGTCTAGTACTGTGTTTTTATAACTTTGTATTTTTGTTTTGATTTTAACCTCAACACCTTATAAAGTAAATCTGATGACTCCCATTTTTATAGAAAGGTCAAAAGCAATTCAAAGGCAGAGCCAGCACCTAAACCTGACCCTAGACCTGCAGATCCCTGTTCTGGGGGCCTCCCCAGCCACAGAGGTGCTAGAAGGAAGACTAATGGAGGGGGAAAGGAGGAGGTGTGGGCCCAGCCCAACAAACAGCCTCTCAGGCCTGCCTTTATTGTTCACAGAACCGAAAAAGTGGTGAGGGCTTTCCTTCCTGTCTTTAAGAAAACAACAGAATCAAAACAAACAGAGAAGGGGACTCCCCTCCTGCAGCCTTTGCCAGAAATAAACGGAAGAAATAGTCCCAGTCTGACCTGCTTGCTGCTGGCACAGAGCTGCTGGGGAGAAGAGAGCACCTCACTAAATCCCAGCTTTTCAAAATCCCCCCACCCCCCAGCCCAGTCCTGAGACATCCTGATCCCACCTCACACCCATGATGGCTGCTCACACACAGCTGAGGCAGTTGAGACATCCCAAAGAGCTTCCATAAATCCTAGGGCAAGGAGGAAATGAAAACATGCAAGTCCAAGAAATAAAACCAGCCCCAAAAATGCACACCAGCAATTTTGACCTCACATGGCCAGTTCTCATTCGGGGTGCCCAGGTCCCACCCCATTTCTCACATTGAAGTCCCCAAAAGGCAAGAATAGCCTTTCTCCCTGTCCTGGATTTGGCCTTGCCCTACCTTGGCTGTCCCAGCTGACTAACTGTAGAGCAGCAACGAGCTCATGGTAATGCAGAGCGCTCCCCTCCCTCCCCAGCCCTCTCACTCATGCCTTGGCTCAGCTTTTAGTCCTAACTAGCTTGGGCTGATTGGCTCATCTGGGTTGACTGGCAGCTTGCAGAGATCGATCTCTGCTGCCTGTACACAGGGCTGTGGCCTTAAAGGCTCAGCAGCGTCATTATTAAGTTACACTACTACTACAGTACTTATACTGTAGACTCATGGTATGAGCCCATTAGGTCAATAGGGGACTCTAGGGCCATCTGCACTTTTTTCTGTTGTTTGTTTGTTTTGCAGTACAAACATTCAATGCAGGCAAACATTCAATCACTTCAGACCTTTTGTTTTCATTTTGTTTTTGAGAGAGGCTTTCACTGTACCTTTTCCCAGAACTAGTCACTAAATCTCCATCCTCTGCCTTCTGAGTAGCTGGGATTATAGACACACGCTACCATACCTGGCCTGGCCCATCTGCACCCTTTGAAAAATGCCTAGATAGGTTACAGAACTTGTCTGTGATTTAGGCTTAAGGTTGCATTGTAGCTGGAGAATAGGTTTGCTCCACAGAGACTAATTAATCTTAGCAAATACCAAGTAAATACTTAGTTATGTACCCAGTTCTGTGCCTGGTCCTGGGGAAAATGTAAGGAGACAGTAAGACTTAGGATCTCCCCGGGGCCTTAGAGAGATGAGGGTGGGGAGAGGATTGTGCCTGTGCAATTAGAACAGACTTCAAAGGAAGACTGCTCCTGGAGCTGTGGGAGGCTGGAGGGGAGGCATCCTGTGTGATCTTGCTAACTGTTGGAAGACTGCTGATCCCAAGACCCTGAGCTTGCTGAGACAGGGCCTGTCTGCCCCCATCCCCCTGCTGTTAGTAGTTGCTCAGTGGCATCCGTTGCATGAATGGCCAAATGGCTTCACGGGCAGCAGACAGCCTGAGGTCCAGCAGAGACTACTCTCCTAAAATGAGGCCAGGGCAGAGCCTCGGCCTCCGTTTGCCGCAGCACCCACAATGTCCCATTCAGCTATCATCCTTTCTCTTCTGAACTTTTAGGCAGTCATCCTCCTTTTTAATGCACCTTTAATACAACCTGCAAATAACCTCTGGAGTTACTGTTCCAGAACACAGGTTGGATTGTGCCATGCCCTCCCTCAAACGCCTTTGCTGGCTCCCCATTGACACTGAATAAAATCCTGGCTCCCTGGCCCAGGAATTAAGACTGTAACTGCTACACACCCAGATCCTGTTCCCTCCCCTCCAACTAGAGGGAGCACAGTGGTTAAGGGCTCAGTCTCCAAGGTCAAGTCCTGGATTTAGATTCAGGTCCCGCCCCTCATGGGGCATTGACCTAGGACAAGGTATTGATACTTTCTGAATTCCTGTTTCCTCTCCATGCCCACCTCATAGAGCCTGTTATGAGGATGAAGTGAAACGCATTCTGAATGAAGACACACAGAGGCGCTCCCAATGCTTGTCGGCTTTCCTCCACGCTTCAAGGACCATAGTTCTGTCTTACCCACTGGCCCAGAAGCCTTCTTGTGGGCAAGTGCCAGGAGAGGTTGTCCTTGCCCCCCCTACCCCCCGCCCCACCTCCTCCAGCCCAGCTCTGTTTTGCTGTCAGAGTCCCATAATGCTGAGCAAGTGGTTCTATAGCCCAGGGTGAGAGCCCACCTGGGGCCCAGGAACCATGGAGATGGTCGCTCCCTAGTGCCTAACACCTCCTGCCACCTCCTGGCCCTGTTGCATCCTCCTTGGACTGTTAGACCCAGCTCTCTCTGACTCCTCTAGAAAGCCTTCGTACCCCTCAGGTTGGGTCAGGACCCTCAAGTCCCCAGTGCACTTGTGGCAGATAAGTCTTGGGCAACGCACTATTGTAGAGTGGTTATCTGTTTGTGCAGCTGTCTCTCCAAGAGCCTGGGCCCTCCCTCCCTCTTCAGAGTCTGGCTTAGCAGCAGCTCAGCAAGGTTTTTGCTGTTGTTCTTATTAGCATATACTGTTGTATGGGGGAACACTGTGACATTTATGTAAGTGCTTATAATATATCTTAATCAGACTCACCTCTCCCTCTTTCTCCTTTATCCCCCCTCCTCCTCTCCAGCAAGGTTTTGATGAAAAATGAACGACCTTGAGCAAACTTCCTGTGTCCTGTTCTCAACTGGGGAAGGCATGCTCTTTCTTGGATAACTTGGGAGAAAGAGGTAGAGGGGACAGGGCCTGGAGAGGAACAGAGGCTTGTGATGCCCACTGTGGCTCTGTGGGATTCATCAGAAGCAGACACATTGGCTCATCAGTAAGCCTAGGCTAGAGAATTGTCCCATATACTGAGGCGTGGCCACATAAGAATACAAGTACATGGTGCTTAGACAAGGCCATGTCTTGTCTAAGCACAAGTGCTTGCCTAACAAGGGTGAGGTCCTGGGTCCCAGAACCAATAATAATAATAATTTTAAAAGGAAGTCAGTGTATCCAGTCTCTTCTCCTTTAGAGCCCTTCCCACAGGATCTGCCCCAACCTCTGTCATACCAGCTATGTGACCTTGAGCTGCTCACAACTGAGCCCTGGACCTCCAAGTTCTCATCTCCACTGACCAGGCAGGCTAAGCTGCCATCCCAGCCAGTGCAAGGAAGGACTCCCAGCAGGCCTCTAGGTTGGCCGGCCACCTCCTGGCGGTGTTGGCTCAGGCGGAGGGTTTCAGGTTTCAGCTTGCAGAGTGTTTTCCTGTCTAGGGCACTTTCTATTTTTCAATACTTTTCCTAATACAGCCAAACAACAGAAAAAGGAAATTGGTTGAGCCTCCTGAAGACCCAGGGCCTGGCGAGCAGGGTGGAGGATGGAGAATCCAGGGGATGGGCAGAACCTAGCTTGGGAAAAGTCGAATGCAGAGCTGCAGGGGAGATGCTTCTGTACCCCGTCCTGACCACCACCCCCTCCTCCCAGGCTGACTCATTGTTTTGCAACAAACAACCGGCGGCCAGGCTGTACTTCTCCAAGTCCAGCCCCAGAGCTGGCTGGGCTCAATCCTGCCCTCCCAACGGCCTGGCCAGGCCCAGAACGATTGGGTTCTCTCCGCCCGCCCGCTTCCCCTTTCTGGGGGCGGCCACTTGCTCCCTTGAGGGAACCAAGTGTGAGAAAAAGAACTGGGCAGGGAGCGGGACTCTCTGAGCTACCTGTCTACAAAGAGGCCCTGACTGCCGGTGACTTTGTGCAAGTCCCCACTCTTCCTGAGTTTCAGCCTCCCCATAGTAAAGTGTACGAGTAACAGTCCCCGAGTCATCAAATTGTTCTGAACAGCAACAGGGGTGCTTGCTGCTGAGCGCTCTACCACCGAGTTACATCTCAGCCCTGCGGATATGCTAATTTTTAAAAGAGCATGCAGTTTAACCTGCTGTCAATGAGAAAGGGGGGGGACGGCTGTTATAATGTTAAATCAAATAGACCCAACACCCCAGGCCAGGCTGGGAGGGGATTTCCCAACTCCCTGCTCCTCCCCCATGCCCCAGCAGGCCAGGTTCCTTCCCTCTGCACCCCTGAGCGAGGGCATTGAGGATACTGATGGCCCCAGCAGGATCTGCACTGAGACCTTAAGCTCCTTTTCTAATGGAAGCTATGTCGGGCAGTTCTCCAGGGAGGCAGGCGCCAGCCCGGAGGATCTGCCTACCTGGGCGTTTCCTGTAAGTGCTTTTGGAATTTCAAAAGGAATGCCCCCACTGATGGGCCCAAGGGTAATGGTGGGGGGAGGGTGGCAGGGTTGCCACCAACAGGGGGACCTGTCTACCACCCTCTCTGAACTTATTTTTTTCCAAATAGCTGGTGTATTAGGCTCAAGCTGCAAATTCAAATCCTGCTTCTGACACTCACAAGCTCGGTGACTTCTGGCAAGTTACCTCTTTCTCTGAAGTTTCCTGGTGTGTAACAATCTCTTGCCTTGCATGGCAGCAGGGGTTAAATGAAGCAAACCAACAGCTGTGAGCTCAGAGCCAGGGCACCCTTAGTGGGCCTGCGCCTTCCCTTTATCCCCTACTCTTGCTCAACTCCAGCTCCACCCCTCAGCCACTTTCTGGCCTTGAACAGCTCTTGTTTCAGTGTTTGTGCCCAGGTACCTGAGACTCTCCACCCCTCATGCCTGACTCCATTCTTAATGGCTTGGTCTCCCTCCCCACCCACTTTCTTGTCCTTGCTAAGGAGACTCAGGCCTGAGGCCTGGCTTCTCAGAGTGCCAGTATTGCACTGAACAGAACCTACTTCAGAGCCTGAGAGCCTACCTCTATTCACTGTTCGTGTGACCCTGTACAAGTCCTCGGTCTTCACCAATCCTCTGTAACTCACATTCATTCAGCAAATACTTCTGAGCAGCTGCTCCTTGCCTGACACTGTGCTGGGTTCCACAGGCACAAAGGTAAATAGAACAGAGCTGATCCCTGCTCTAAAAGAATCGTAGTCTAGAAGGGAGACACATACTAAATACCTACCAAACACATAATGACTGCATGCTGCAGAGGGAAGGGTACTTTGGGGCTCATACTTCCTGGAGGGCTCAAGATCAAGTACCCTTGAAGGGGAAGCCAGAACCTGAAAGATGTCTAGGGATGATAGAAACTGAGGAAGAAGGAACACAGTAGAGACAGCAGAAATAGCACATTCAAAGGCCCTGAGGTCAGCAGAGTTGGGTACTCCTCCTACTGAAAGGACGCTGTAAGGTAAAAGCAAAAGAGAGACCAAAGTTGAGGTTGGAGAATCAAAAGTCTGAAGCCAGTTAGACCCCCAGGTCTCAGCAAGGACTGGACGCATTGAACGGCTTTAAGTAGGGTAAGGTAGGGATACAGCTCTCAAAAGCACCCCCGGTAAGCGAATGGATAATGTCTTGGGGTAGATTTGGGGAGACCAGGGAGGAGGCTGCCTTCTAGAGGAGAGGATATGGTTGGATAAGAAAGGAGTAGCAGAGCTACAGAGATGGGAGCAGAGCCAACACTCGATTAGGGAGGGAGGGCAATAGGAACTGGTGACAGGGCAATGTAGGAGGTTGGAGGAGGTGGTGGCAAATATAACACTCAAGTTTTACCATGGGGAGCTGGGTGGACCGGAGGGCCAGTTACTGACAGACTGGGTAGGGGAGAACAGGAGTTTAGCTTCAGAGATCTATTTGGGATGTCTGTATCTCGGCTGGATGCATCAGCTAGATATATCAGTCTTGAATTTAAAAGAAAGGTCTAGATTGAAAGTTGGAAATTTTCAGGGATGGAATGAAAAACACAGAAATGGGAAGATTGGGAGCGAGTGAGCAACACTAATACAATAATCCAAGAGCACTCAGACCCCCGGCCTAAGGAGCCCTCCACTGAAGAGTCGGGCCAAGTCTGAGCCTCAGTCTGTCTGTAAAATGGAGATAATGGTTCCCATAGCTCACAGCATATGAGGGTTGGAGCACTTGAGGATATAACACCCTTCCCCAGAGGCCGCACAGTGGTTACGTGCGATGGTCGGAAGCCCACGAGGATGCATTTGGTCAACATTCTCTTCCTTTGCAAGTGATGGAAACTCAAACTGGTTTTAGAAAAGTTTATTCAAAGCATTTGAATAGCTCCCTCCATTACAGGAGCTCAGGCACTAACCCCACTCCATGGAAGGGCAGGAACGCAGTCCTTCCAGGCACTCACTAAATGTCACCTCTCTATTGGGGTCAACTTAATTCTCTCCTGGATTCTCTGACTTCCCCGTGTGACCGCGCACAGCTGCTGGCCAGGTCTGCTTTTCGCAGTGAGATGTCCCCTTTAGCAGAGGGACTTACTCGTATTCTCTCTGATCTCTAGCACACTGTCTTCAGGGAAGGGTTCTGATTGGCTCGGCTTTGTTCAGGCTCCTCCCCCTACAACAGCCAGTGTGGAGAAGCCAAGGGACTGGTGTCTACGATGACATGGGGGGGAGGGGACAACCAACCACTAGGTCAGCAAAACAATAGACCACGCTCTCAAATTAGTAACATGAAGACAAAGGTGCTTGTAAACTAAAATGTATGTGGGGGTGGGGGTGGGGAGCAGCTTAACTTAGTATCTGCTGGTGACAAAAATTAAACACTACAGCCGCTCTGTTTTCATCTTTTGATTCTGACACTCCCTTGGGAACCCCTCCATCCCAGCCCCCACTCACCTGGCCTCTCCAGTAGACTCCCAAAGTCTCCAGCCTATGAAGTCCTTCCCATCCCACCTCCCCTCAGCCCGGCTATGAAGGGGTCCATCTTTGGGGCCTTCAGTGGGCAGACCCCAGGACTGAGACCAGTGTCCTCAGCCCGATCTCTCCAAACTGTCTCCCTTCTTCTATCTTGGCAGGTCTCACATCAGCTCACCCAGACCTCCTCCAGGAAAGGACCCCTGATCTCTCCAGGATCACATCCTCTCCACTGACCTCTGAACAGCAGTGGTCATTGCTCCCATTTGGGGCGTGTCTGCTTTTACACATTTCATCTCGCATGACCCCTGAGCAATAGAGGACGCCACCATCCCCACGTGACAGAGGGAAGACAGAGGTTCAGAGAGTCTCACCAACATACTGCAGCCACAACCTTGGTTAATGAAATAACCAGCACTTGAATCCAAGACTGACAATTGACTTCTAAACCTTTGCTCCACAACAAGGCCTGCAAACTATGGCCAAACTCCTGCCCCTGTCTGTTTTTGTGCAGCCTAAGAACCATGTGGTTTTTACATGATGGTGTGTGGGGAGGGGTAAATGAAGCATAAAACTTTGGCATATACAAAAATTATACGAAATTAAAAGTTCAGTGTCCATAAGACAGTGTTACTGGACAGTGCTATTGTTACACTCTTCAATAGGCATGTCAAGGGTGGGTAGTTGTGACAGACCAAAGACCGTAAGTCTCCCTAGTCTAGAATTTTGAAGCTAGTTCTTTTTTTTTTTTCAGTACTGGGATTTGAACTCGGAGCCTACACCTTGAGCCACTCCACCAGCCCTATTTTTGTGATGGGTTTCTCGAGATAGGGTCTCGTGAACTATTTGCCCAGGCTGGCTTCAAACCACGATCCTCCTGATCGCTGCCTCCTGAGTAGCTAGAATCACACGCAAGAGCCTCCGCGCCTGGCTGACTCTTTGGTTCTTTACAGAAGTTATTTGCTGTACTCTAACGAGTTCAACCACAAAGTCTCCTGGAGTCCTAAACATCCACCTGTCTGTAGGGCTGCAGGAAGGGCCAGGTGGGTTCCAGTGCTCTGGACACCAAGACTTGCCCACCATGGGATCACAGAATGTGTTTCTAAGTCATCCCTTACTGGTGTCCTCTGGCTGAGTCAGGCTGACCACCCCCAGGCTGCCACTGGAGACCTTTGTTCTGACAGGCCCTGAGGCAACTGCACTGCGCTCTGGGCCTTGTTTGGTTTTCAAGGAACCAGCTTTAAGGAAGCTGCAGAAGGCAGAGATCTTAGCTGGAAATGTGAGTCTGGGTTCTAAGTGGTTGGAGGAGAGAGCAGGAAGGCCACAACTAGTGGGTGACTGACAACCAGAGCTCTGGAAGGAGGAGAAGGTGGGCACGGGGGTTGTGCTTGATGTGGCCCTCACAAAAGAACTCCCTCCCCACCCTCGCCACACACACCTTGGTGAACACAGTGGGAGTTTCCCTCCTCACCCTGCGACTGACTCAGCCCAGTCCAACAAACCTTCAGTTTCTTGTGCCTCAGGTCATCCTGGGGATGAAATGAGGGAGCAGATATGGACACTGAAAGTAGAGGGTTTTGATGTTAACCAAATGACCGAATGGAAGCCTGCCATTTGGAACTGTCCACGAGTTCCAAAGTTTACAGAGTTCTCTGTTAGTGTCATTTTAAATATATATATTTAAAATGTGGAAAGCAAAAGGGTCTGCCGTCCACACTCTACCCTGGTTAATATCATGCCTACACTTAATCAATCTTGTCTTGAGGGACACAGCAGCCCAGGGAAAGGAAGACACCAGAGCAGTATCCCACCGCCTAACTCTGGGAGTGTGTTAGAGAGTGAATTCTGGTTCTGAGGTTTGGGGCCAGCATCTCTAACGAATCCCAGAGGACACCCATCTGAGGACTATATCAGGGCCTCAAGACCCTAAAGCAGACTGGAGGGGAGACCAGGGCCTCCTGAGGGCAATGGAAGTTCATGCCACCATGCAGGCTGCTTCCTGAAGTAGGGGGCAGGGGCTACATCCCAAAGCCCAGGGATCACACTGGAAACACTGCGCATGCACAAGGCCCAAGCCCTTGAAAGGGGGCTGGAGCGGGGGAGGCAGGGAAGGACTGAGCTGCCTCAGATCAAAGCAGGTCTGTAGTCTTTGATTCCCAAAGGAGCAGCCTCTAAGGTTGGAGTTGGAGGCCACTGGCCTTGGGGCCTGGGGAAAGTGGTGAGAGGCCCTGGCCTCTCTTTTTGCATAACGGCTTGGCTGCCTAACAAAAGGGCGGGCCTTAAAAGGCCTGTGAGGCTGTTAAAGGCTTCCGGCAATGGCTTAATTGGGGGCATTAAAGTGTACTCCTCAGGAAGACCTGCCCTTCAAAGGCCAGGCAGGCCGGGGTGCCCTGGCCTCAGCACCTCTGCCCTTAGCCTCTCCCTCCCTGGACTCTGCTGCCCATTCCCCCACGGCTCCCTGCAGACCTAGGAAGTCCCTGGCCAGCCTGTCTGGGGGGATTCCGTCCTGGCCCCTGGCCCATCAGCACCATTTGTTCACACAGTTTGTCTTGCGGTTGAGTCTGGTGTAGGAGGGAGGGAGGATGGGAAGGAAGACTGAGCCAGACACACACTGGAGTTGGGGCCACTCACAGCCTCTGGCTGTCTCTCTTGCAGGACATCCAGACTGGCCCCTGGGTCCCTCCCTGAGCTCTGGTAACTAGTCCTTCTCCCTAGGGTCCCTGCCAGTCTGGAACTTCACGGTCACTCCGAGGGGTCCCATCTCCTACCGCACAGTAATCTGCCAGGCACACTACCTGGAAGGTGCTGGTTATTCAGAGGTGACCAGACAGGAATCAGGACTGTGGGGAAGAGGGAGATAATGGGTGAGTGAATGGGCAAAAGCAATAGGGTGTGATTCCAGGCAGGAGGAGATGAAGCAATGCCTGGAGAACCAAGGGGCAGGGGAGATTTTCTGGAAGCAGAAGAGGCCTGGTGTTAGAATGTGACCAGCTCAGCTTGGTCCATCTGCCAAGCCTGATGTCAACAGCAAGACCACAGCCAAATTAACTGACAGACTGTTCAGCTAACCCGCTGGGAGATTTTGGGGAGGGAAGTGGGGAAGACTTTCCATCCCAGTCTAGAAAAGGTCACTCTGTGGGCATGGAAGCCAGACGCTTCTCCAGAGCTCCCAGACCTCTCAAGTACGTCCTTGGTTGAATCTCCATGTGGGGAACTGGCTGAGGGGCTGCCTTGCCCCCAGCACTTCTCCCTTTAGCTCCATTTCCCCTGCAGATCCTTACTGCCCATTGGGTTTTGGCCCCACGGGAACTGGCCAATGCCCATCTGAGATGGGGGCACCAGGGCCAAGGGTCTCTGAGATTGCCATGTGCCCCGGTGGGCCATCCTGCTTAGTGCCCTGGTTTTGATTTTGAGCAATTTCCGGTCTCAGAACTGAGCTGCTCGTCACATCTGTGACATGTGGCTGTCTGTGCACAAGGAAGAACAGAAGAGCAGCCAAGGAGGAGTGGGGGCAGAACCCCAGCTGGAGGCCCCGCTCCCTCAGAAGGCACCTGGTGACAGATGAGCCCACCAAACTCACGTGCCTTCAACCCTCCACCCATCCCACCTCTACCCATCCCAGCCTGGTTGGGCACAGAGGCCCCCTACAGAAGGTGCTCAGGACCCCATACTAAATAGGAGCAGATCCCTCCCTTGCCCAGGCGGGGTGTGCACTGAAGACAGGTAGAAGAGAGAAGAATTAGAAAAAGGAGCTGTCTGCTCCCCCTTCCTATTCACTGCTCCCCAGTTGCTGTCTGCCTCCTTCACTCCTAAAGTGACCAACTCTCCCAGCTTGCCCAGGGTGCAGGGGGTTCCCTAGACAAGGGACTTTCAGTTTCAAACTGGACAGTCCCTGGCAAACCATCCTGATTTGCTTGGGACTACAGGGCGAGCTTCCTAGGATCGGCTTTCAGTGCTAAAACTGAGAAAGCCTCGGGCAAATCGGGTGAGGTGGTCTCCCTACTATTACCCCATAGACTGGCCTCTGTCCCCATTGGTCCCCTGAAACAGTGTCCAAAGGCCATAACCATAAATGCCTCTTTTCTCTCCTCCTACCCTACAGGGGTGGTTGTAGGGTGATGGGAACCTGGGGCTGCACCCAACTGGCCTGGAGGGGTGCAATGGGGGGTGGGGAGGCGACAGAGAAGTGACAGTGTTGGCAACCCCACCTCCAGCTGGTCTTGCTTGTCCCACCTCTCCAGTTGCTGGGCCTGCACCTTTATCGTGCTTTGTGCTATCTGTCCGCTCTCATCCCATCCCAGCTCTGCCAGGACTCAGATAAGCAAAGGGGCCCCCAGGGGAAGAAACAGGCAAACCTGTGGCCTGGCTCCTCCCCAGCCTCCCGGCCTGACCCTTGGCTAGACATTGTCGGGAAAAGCAGCAAGACATCCCGAACCACTTCCCCAGCCCCTATGAGGCAAGTATGGTAGGGAGGAAAGTGAGGGCCAGGAGATGACCTGCCCAAGGTCATGGGGCCGGTAGCTGGGGTCTGAGAGAGCAGGTCCAAAGACTCCAACATGGAGCCTCATGCAGGATATGTTTTGGGTGCACCTGGGGAGACCAGATCCAAAGATGGAGACTCAGTACTGCACTCCTACTGCTGGTCCCAGGCCAGGGCCCAGCCCCATCTGAGCTCAGAGCCTGCAGCCCCCTTTCCTGCCGGCTCCTGTCTGTCTGGCCCTCTGCCTGGGTTTCTCCCTCCAAGCCCTGCTGCCTGCTGCCTTGGTGAGACTGGAACCACATTCACCAGCCTCCACAGCTACCCTGCCCAAGGGCAGCTTGACCCCTCCTCACTTTGCACACCAACCCACCTCGGTCGGTCAGACAGCGGCTGTGGCCACACACAACTGCTCATAGTCCCCAGCCATGCTTTGGCCTTTCCTGCCTCTGCCCATTCTCAGGGTTTCCTTTCCCCCAGGACTGCGGGGACCCTGCTGGTCCTTCAAGGGCAAACTCACATGTCTCATCCTCCAGGTGGCCTCCCTGCACACACCATTCAGGAGCTTGTTTCCTGTACACGGCCTAGGCCCTTACTATGTGCCAGGCACTGAGCTGTGCCTGGGATTCGCCGAGCCTCACAACCACGGCAAGCAGCTAATACTTTACTATCATCCTCTTCCTAGTCTTCATAGATAAGAAACCAAGGCACAGAGAGGTCAGGTAACGGCCCAAGATCACACAGCAGGATGGACAGAGAGGATTTAAGTTCTGGACTCAGGATTCAGAATCTGAACTCAGAAGCATCAATGGCCTGCCCTGGTGGTGTCTGTACCATTTTTGGGCCCCTCACACTGGTTGATACGCCAGTCTTTTATTCTCTGCCCTGGCTATTGGACTAGGGGATTCTCAGGACAGAGACCCCACTTCCACTCTGGCCTGCAGAACCCCCTCTGGGAGGGAACACAGTGAATGACAGAATTCTATTAACCCTCAGCCTGATTCAGGAGTCACTGCCTGGCTTCTTTTTTGGCTCTAGGGCCCAGCCTGAGCTTGGGATGTGGGATGTGGGTGTGTACCCAGAGGAGAGCTAGGAACTTGGATCCTGGGGACTCCAATAGCTGCCAAGGACCTCTCTGCCCCAAGT